TTTAAAATATAAAAAACCTCTCTAAGTGCATCACAAGGGATCCAGAGGTTAGTATTTGAAATGTATTTAGAAAGATCTCTATAAATTAAAGTTTTATTTCTCTTTAAAATAATAATAATTAATATATAAAATAAATTTACTTAATTTCTGATATAAAAATCTGTTATTCAATGACTAAATATCATTGTAAAATTTGCAAAAGGTATTTTACAACTTTCAGTAAACTGACACAGCATGTCAATATAGTACATCATGAAAGAAGAACTATTTCTCAACCAACAGGTCATACCTTGCAAAGATTACAATTATCTCAGCTAATACAAAGATCAAAGCATGATGCAAATTTGTGAAGTATATCAATTACAAGGTTATCTCTTCTGATAATCTCAGTAAAATATAATGAAATAATAATATTACCTTTAAATGTTTAAGAAGAAATAATATTATTATTAGATATTGAAGAAGAAATGATATTATCACTAGATTTTGAAGAAGAAATGATATTATTTGTGAAGGTTGCTGAAGAGATTTTAGAAGAAAATTTTGAAGAATCACTATTAGTAGATATTAACACTAGTTTTGATTTTGAAGATCTTCAAGATGCAACTTTAAATGATGCTTTGGAGATTATCAAAGGAAAATTAAACCAGAATGCTTAGCACAATAACTTAACGATGCTTATCATGACTTCATGAAGTTGGTAATAGAGAATATTTCAAATAAGATTAAGGAAAAATAATTAAATTCTTTAATAAGCATAATAATCTGGAGGAATTATTATTGCTGAAATTCACAAAAAGTGGAAAAAATCATCTTTGATTAACTTCAAAGAAAAAGTTGTCAGAACTTTCTCTAACATCGATTTTACTCTCTATTACTATCCAATTTTTCAAGTTATCCAAATACTTCTACAATAACCAGAAATAATAGACAATTTTAATCAACAGGGCATTCTAAAAAAGAAAAAGATGATAAGTTTTCAATTACTGTAATATCAATTAACAAAATTAATAAATTAATAAACATTAAGTAATTACCAGAAAGGTGAAGTTAAAATAAGGGTATTCAGAGAACAGTATGAATATAATTGATAGTACAAGACTGAAAAAATACTTTCTTCATTATATTATCTATTATCAATTATTCTATATTCAGATACCACTATCTTCAATGATCTCAGCAAAACATCAAGACATTCTATATTTTTAATACTTGGCAATTTCTCAAATTGACTTCAAAATAAATCAGAAACTAAAGTTCTTTTGAGTTTTTTGTTCAAAGTTCAAGACTTAACGATAAAAATCATCAAAGATTTTTGAAGCTTGCAATGTGAAGTATATCACAAGTGCTTTAAAATTATACTTGATTCTCTAGTGGAAAAATTTAACAAATTGTATTTTAGAGTACAGGGATAATCAGTAATTTTTGCAGTATATATTTTAGTCTTTCTCATGAATATGCTTAAAGCTGACAATGTGACTGCAATATATAAAGCAGCAAAATACAAAATATTATGTTATATCTGCATGATTCTGTAGAATAATCTCAATAATATGAATTTTATATCAGAGAATATGGATTTTAGAACACCAAAAAACATGTGACAGATTATAAATAAAGGTCAGGACAAAAATTTTTTTATATACAATATTGAAAATAAATGCCTTCTGAAAGTTCTTATTAGTATTTGAATACTAATCCTTCTGCAATTATTTTTAAAGAATAATTTTGAGTTATAATTAAATTAAAATTATTAAATTATTATAGAAACTTAAATATTTATAAAGCTTGTATACCTGATCATATGCATCATATTGATATTGGTCTCTTCAAATACTAATTGAACTTCATTCAAGATATTTTGAAGAAAGTTAGAGGAACAAAATTACTAAACAACTTTGATGACTATCTCCATCAAATTTTTCACTTTTCTAAATTAAAATTGTTCAATAAATTGGGTCAAATAAAAGTGATGTCAGCCGTAACCTATCGATATATCATGAAAATCACTCTTTTCACATTAGATAATATCTTTGACACATGAAATAATATAACTTGCAATGAACTCTGCATGCTTTTTGCAAAGTTCAGTAGAATATATATGCTGAGTAAACGAGAGTTATTCACTAAAAATGATTTAAAAGAATTTTAGGTAAAATAAAGCAAAATTAATTAAATTTTGAAAAATTGGATACTAATAATGAACTTTGAAAATGGATATAGATTCTCATTGTTGACTAATCAACTAAATTTAAAAGAATCTTCTCATTACTATTCATTATGGAATATAGTTTTTCTAAATTATATAGTTGACACTATTACATAATTCTGCTAATTCGTAAATATGGAATCTTGAATGGTCTCTTGACAGAAATATATGAAATACTTCACAAGTTGTATGTGAAAAACCCGTACTGGTCACCAAATAGAAAAAATATAGTTCAGCAAATAGTAAATACAGTAAGTCAAGTTAGTCAATTGTGATCAATTTGTTATAAATTCTAAACTATACTTATAGATAAAGTGCAAGAATTTATTCTGATGATAAACAAGACAGTTTATTGTAAAACTATAAAATTTGACAAGATATTATAGGAATTACCTTTGGAAATCATTGAAGCAAAAGTTATTTTGTTGAAGAATTTGAAGAATTCATTGCATTCAAACTTCATTATATATAATCATTGCGTTAGACACATTTTTTGATACATTATCACAAAAATTCTAAAGTAAAAACTTTTGTATAAAAGTTTATAATATAGTTCATTTGAAAAGTAGTAAAATTCTGAGAACATCTGGAAGTTTTCATAACAAAGAGTGATTCAGTAACATTATAGTAGCTTCAGCTAAAGACCAAAGTCATTATATATTAAATGAAGATGCTTGGTATAGAAAAGTAAATACAACTTTTGAAGAATAGTAAAATATAATTTCAAATTTAGCAATTTTGAATAATTAATCTTTATATTTTCTTCCAAAAGATACTGCTCTTTCTATAATTTTTTTGAGAATCAGCAAAGGACTCATACAATCTTGCTATAGTTCATTGGTATGATATTATATCAAATGAGTCAAAAAAGTATAGTTGCTCTCATCTATACTATATCAAAGAATATAATATAATTCCAATAAAATTTATAAATCAAGAGATACATATTGTGTTGAGATTTGACAAAAAAAACTATTTTTTATTAAATAAATATATGTTTTGAAAAACAATGAGCAAAGAATTTTAAAGTCAAATTTGTATCTGTGATAAACTTTAAAGAAAAAAATAAATAATAATGTATATAATTGATTTATTTATCATTTATCTATTTAATTTATGTTCAAAGAACTGTAACAATCTGTAAATATGCTAATCATTGCAGTTTCTTTGGATTACACCACTCCAAAATTTCTATTTTTAGAGTTCTGCACAGATTTTGGATTGGTATAACCAAAAAATCAGCAATGATCAGCATATTTACTGATTGCTGCTGATCTGATATCTATCAAATTTATTGATGTTAAATTCTATTTATATTTCTAAAAATCAGAATATAAGTGGGTCAAAATGGTCTGCTTTTTTTTTTACAGGGTGCGATGATTTGGAGGCATCAGATTATTGCAGTTATTGCAATAATCAATTGATTCAAGGAACTTTCTGCAATCCGGTTGTACTAGAGATTTCCCTGGCGATTTGTTCACAAATCAGCCTTTTCAAAATGATGAGAGTGTATTTGAAGAATAAATAGGATAGAATTACTCTTGTAATAAGAGTCGATTCGTTACAATAAAGTTTTTATTTTATTTTAATACCAATTGATGCGAATATGACAGGACTTATTGATACAGCCTGTCCAAAAAAGAACTCAATATGAAAGAGTGCTTATTGATATGGCCTGTCCAAGAAAAACAAAACTAATTTCAACAAGACTTATTGATACAGCTTTTACAAAGAAAACAAAATCAACTTAACAGGACTTATTGGTATGGCCTGTTCATGAAAAATAAAATCAAAATAACAATTCAAAGAATTCAACGGCTTATTTAGAGTAGAAGAGCATCCACTACTTGCAATCACTCACAAGATTTGAAGTTTGATCACGAAACGAAAGAAAATAATAGTGTATTCGCAAGTAATATTGTTATTACGAGTAAGAACTTTGTTATTTTATTCGATTTTAAAGCACGATCAAAGCATGTCTTCTCAGCGACTTGAAGACGCTTCTATATACAATTTCGAATTACTACGCTAATCCTATGCTAATTCTAAGGTTAGTAATTTACATTGATGGTTTCTTTTAACACGACTAAACACTAATTGTTCGATTGTTTTTCAATTGTCCAGACGATTGTTATCCCCTTTTTTACAGTTACTATCGTTACGTACATTTCGTCGATGCTCTTCAATTGTCCAGATGATTGTCGGGATTATCCTCTCGATAATCGTTACCGTTACCGTTACGTGTATTAACTATCGTTCGACACTCCCGATTGTTCAAATAATTATTGTTACCCTCTCGATGCTCGTCGTATACGTTATATTAAAAGAACGATCGTAATTCGATATAAACAAGAAAAAGGTAATGCATGTATCTATTCCCAACTAAATTTGGTTTACAATATCGATATAGAACTTTCATAAGAAACTAATTTTTGAGGGATTTTCATGTAGAAATTGAGAATCAAAATTACGGAATCGAAAAATTTAATGCTATTTCGGTAACACTAATCGCATCTAGTATAATTAATGGGCAGAAAATTGCACATCTCGGATTTGCGCATCTCGGAGTGATGATCTCAAATGAAAATGCCATATAAAAATTAATTGCTAATATATTATTTGCCAAAAAAGTACATCCGAAGGATTGTTTTATTAATCAATAATAGTGTAGTACCACTTAAAAGTAAATACAAATCGGGACATATCCCATATTACATAACGAAATTTTCTATCCTAAGCCCGATATATTCCTATATTCTAGCTCGACGCTTCTGTGAGATTACTTGATGACCTATGCTTTTTTTAGTACCCTCGATTGCTCACCACCTTGTGACGCTTCCACCGGTCTCTGCGCCTCCAACAACCATACAATATGACCTAGGACCTCTTCTACCATAATTTGCATATTATCACTTTTATACACGACAGTCACCGGTTCTGATAGCTTAAACGTCGGTTCTTCATCCTCATCAAGCGTACATTCCATAAATACCATTCTTTTTCATCGGTAACGATTCCAAACACCTTATCCACACCTTGTTCGCTGTCTATTTCATCGGCTTTACGTTTACGTCCCGTTAAGGATGATTCCATTTGCACGGATGCCTGGGCAAATCCCTTCATAAAATCCTCCTTCTTGACTTCGACTAACCCAACGATCCTATTGGTTAAACGACACTCAATCGCATAATCGAGGTTTCCCTGCCATTCCGACCTTCAACAAGTTTTTCTGGTATAATATTGATTTCGTAAATAGGCAATAATTTACATATGGATTTTATAATCCCATTCATGTTTTTTTTTATTATTTGACATAATGGTTAAAGTGTTATACCCTATAAAAAATTGAAATCTTTAACATTATATTTAATAAATTAAACTCGTTGCTATCATGACAAGTTTCGTGACTCTACATCTGATCATGTACAAATAAATCCGAAATTTATGCACAGATTGGACGAATACTTTGTTCCGATTGTAGTAACCACACAATGCCGTCACTGAACCATATACATGTAAATAGAATAATTTATTAACGTTAAGTGAAATGATTATATTTTGTTTGTTCTAAAAACGAGCGATTGATATATGCATATATATATGGGTTGCATATCATGTTCATGTCTCGCTCAGGCCGGGAAGACTCAGATATTCCGAAAAACCAAGTCTGGATCCAAAGAAGCATCTACTGAAAATACCGAGTTGCAATAAATAATACATTAAATGTGAATAAATTATTTATATTCCCTACGGAAAAACTGTATCAGGAATTTTACGCAACGTGTAAGCAAATTATCAACAATATGTCAGGAACTAGTTCCATATGTAAGTTCTAATTGATTTGGCACGTTTTCCGTACAAATGCGTACGGAATTAGCATACGTAATTTTAAATTCTATATGCAAATACTATATAAGTTATTGAAAAACGCAGACACATATCTTATATGTTTTGTGCGCATCCCTTAAAATTGCTTATACATTTCAAAAATAAATTGTTTGTATTATGTAAAATTCCAGATACGATTACATACACAACTCTCAAAATTACAAACGCGTTTTATATATATAACACATGCAATCTTTATATATTGCATAAATTTCCAGATACAATGACTGACACATTTCTTATATATTCCATACAGATTGTTTATATTACATATTATATCCTATATTTATAAATGTGTTATCAGTAAATCAAAACAAAACAACACGTAAAATTTTAATGTAATTAAATATGTAGTTTGTATTACCAAATTACTATAATTTGTTCTAATAATTTATTATATTCTGTATATATAATTAATATGTGATCTGTTATAAGTTTCTAACAAAATATGACAGATCACCTTGATTAATAATATAAAATTAATATAGCATTTATCAAAATTAACTTATTTTTAGGTAAATGAAAGATATTAAATAATTATTAAATATCTAATATAATTATATATTTTATAGTTAGTCAGCTATAATTAAAAAATGAAAAAAACTATTAATAAAAAATCAAGTATTTTATAATAATCACATAATTCTCATGATAAGATATATTTATCATATGATTTTTAATCTTTTTTTGCAAAGTATTTCACAACTAAGATTTAAAAATGTCAAGTAATAAAGTGATTTGTAAATGTATTGATTGCATTGAAAAAAATTCTAAGGATAAACTGTTATATCAAAAACTCATAAGAAACACTTAAAAAAATATCAAAGTGAATATGAAATTAACATACATGAAGTGGAAAAAAGTATTGAAAATTTTTGTGAATCATTTTACAAGCTAACCATTTCCAAAAATTTTATTTATTTATTATAAAAACAAAATACAAGCTAGTATTTCGTTTGATCTCTATTCACTGCAATAACAGCTTGAACTCTCCGTGGCATAGATTTAATTAAATTTCGATAATAATTCTCCAGTATTGCATTCCATTACCCTTTAACCATCTTTTCAATTGCACAATGCTTGAGAACTGTGTATCATGTTGACAAATCTTAATTTTAATAAATGACCAAATATTCTTAATAGGATTAAGATCAGGACTTTGGACCAGCCAGGTAAGCAGCTCTATATTTGAGGAGGTAAGAAAGAGATGTGCAATTTTTACAGTATGAACAGGTGCATTATTCTCTTGAAAGAGAATTTTTTTAATTTTTCTGACATGTGTCTTAACTGTAGGAATAGCATAATTTCTAAGAATTTCACAATGTGTAGCAGCAGTAACATGACCAACCAACGGAACTAGCAGATCCAAATCAATTCAAGAAAAACATTCCCAAAACATGCGAACTGTATTATGTCTAACTGTAATCACAATGCAATCTTCGTGAAACTCCTCTGAAGATTTCTGGAAAACACGTCCAAAACCTGAAGTTCGAAATTGTGTATAGGTAAACTCATCTGACCAAACAATATTTTTAAAATCTTTTACTGTTCAGTATTTGCGAGCAATTACTCAAGACAAACATTTGGGCTTATTAATTTTAGAAATTAGTAACTTATAACGTTGAATACGAGAGTGAATATTTTTTTAGCTAATTTTTTATGAATGGTTCATATAGAAATATTTATATTATTGTTTATAAAATTTAAACATATTTAAGAAAGAGTTTGTCGACGTGTATTTTGTTTTTGGTTATTGAAAACTTGAGTTTTTTGTGTTCGAATTCATTAAGAATTCGGAACTCATGTGTTACCAATACTCATAATACTGAAGAATGAGAATAACCTATGACTCTAAAAATCACACTAGACATATGTCAAAGTTTCTTTGCTGTAATAATACCTTCTTTTTGACTTTCTGTTAATTCTTTTCCACAGCACATTGATATGCAGTAAATTTCACAAGATGATTTATGTAATAGTAGATCTTGTGACTCGCAGACTTATTAAAAAACTTGCATATAGTGATGATCTACGTATAATCACAACAAATCACATTTTCATATGATAAAAGGCAAGAGATGTAATGTTACAAATATATTTTCATTGCATATCAAGTGTCCAATACTTCTTTCCACGCCCTGTATAATTCTATTGGAACTTGAAATTGAAGTAGATTTTGAAGAAATGACAAGGTAATATTAATATCTATACATGATTTATTTTAGCTATAATGATATAAGTCAATATTTATCAGAAGATAATTTTTTGACTCGAAGTTCACAAGAATCAATTGAATTGGATTCTGTATCAATTAAAACCTCTTCAAGTTTCGAAATAAGAAGTAAATTATCGGAATTTGAATCATATTCATTTATAGAATCAGAAATTGAAAGTGAAAAATCTGATTCTGATTGGGAAAGTATAATTGAAAAAATAAATAATGAATCAGGTAAAATATATTTGTCATTAATAGTATGAATTACAGGTTTCAATTATCAAAGAAGAAATTCAACATTTGTTACAAAAATCTTTTATGGTCAAGTACTATGATACTTTAGTCACATCCACGATGATGCAACGGTCATGCTTGCTTATGTAAGATGGGCAAATGTTAGAAGAGAACGACCTCTTTTTGGAATCAAGCAATTTCGTGAATTTGGACGATGTGAGTTTATTGAAGTAAGAACCATATGAAGAGTCGTTGGATTCTTTGAGGTGAATGGGGATATCTATATTTTGGATAAGGGAGACAATCTTACTGGGATTTAAATTCGTATAATATATGTTTTTAGGTAGATTGATCTATGTAATTACGCTTGTAATTATCATGGAAATTCTTCATTTTATAATCTCACGTGAAAGTGTAGCATAATAAAATCCTATTCCAAGAAACGCTTAATCACACACGTGTCTCGCGTCTCGATGAATAATAATCAACAGTGTGATTAGGACCTGTACCAGCTAGCTATATTGGGAAATCGAGTGTATGACGCAATAAGCTGAATTGTCGAGAATCCATACCACATAGCGCATATTGATTAGAAATACATAGTATGGGAAATACATGGTTTTCTGTATGCAGTTTGTAATTCCCAAACGGTTTTTCGTACGTGTCCTGTTACGCAAATACCAAATACATGTAATCATTGTGTACGACTCCGTAAAATTACATATGCAGTCCATAATTTCCGACGCATTCCAAGCAAATACCAAATGGAAAATTTAGAGTTCCTTACGCATCACTGACACACATCCGTGAAGTTCCTGACGCGTTCGTAATCATTGCGTATGACTCCATAAAATCACATATGCATAACGTAATCCCAGACGCACTTTTCCCGTAGGGATTTGCCAGCATTTCGGGTTTAATTTTTAACATATGTATGATGAGTGGTGTGGCATCAGAGTAAAAAATAAAATATACCAATTCAGGCTAATTTAATCTGAGTTTCAGATTGCAATATCAAAACCTATGGATAAAACTTACTCCCCCTAAAAATCCTTGGCGAATTTGATTCTAGAACCTGTGAATTTTAAATATCAATTTTCTTGATTTCTACACGACAGCTCTAATTTTAGTTCCGGACTTTTAGTCAAATGCGGTAATCACTTCAATTGGTTTAATATTCAATACATGAATGGTTTCATGTCGACAAAAAGTCAAGAAATAATATATATATGTGTGCGTTTGAACAAGAAGATTTCATCTCAAAGAAAATTCTCATTATAATCATGGGTTTATTACATACAATTTTCAGTAGTGTTAAACCTACTGATATTTTTATTGGATTACTATCTCTAATTTGTTTATATGTAACCCATTTCTATTATAAACACTTTACTCGTATTAATCCATTTCCTGGTCCAATCCCAATTCCGTTAATAGGTAGTTTTGCAATTTTTATAGAGGACATCGACGATTGGTTTCATAAATTAAATAAAATTTACGGACATAACGGCGTATATGAATTGAATATTGCTGGCAATAGACAAATTGTTATTACTCGCGCCGAATATATTGATAAATTGGTGAATGATACTTCAGCGCATGTCATGAGAACCGCAAATAATGGCCTATTGGATTTATTTGATCTTGATAATAAAGGGGTAGGATTGAATCATGATTACAACCATTGGAAATTCAATCGTCATCTCTTTTCGCAGGCCATTATGCCATTAAGTTTAACCGAAAAACCTAGCAACATTTTAAATCCACTGTTTGAAGAAATGGCAAAATATTGGATCGATTTAAAGCAACAAGATGATGATGGAACCATCATCGACATGGCCACTTGGATGCGTCGTTTTACGGCGGATTTTATATCTTTGTTGACAACTGGGAAACGAATTTCTGTCATGCATCATTATTGTCAGAAATTAAAGAACGAACCAATCACCAAAGAGATGATCGATTCTGAAGAGTTTATTGAAGGCATAAATACTTTTGTATCAGATAATCAAATTATATTTGTACCAAAAATTTTAAGAGGTTTACCTTTGATTAGACCTCGTGTAGATCATTTGCTAGATAATTGTAATCGATTTTATGGTAAATTGGTGGACATTATCAGGAAAAGGAGAAAAGAAATTGAAGAAACCATAACGCGTGGTGACTTTGACACAAAACGGTTGGATTTGCTAACATCTTTAATCATTGCTAATACCCAATACGATCCTCATCCTCAAAAACATGTTGATCCATCATTATCAAGACCAATGACTGATGATGAAATCCGTGGTGTCATGTTTGACGCGTTTGTTGCCGGTACAGATACAGTAAGTACATGTAATACATGGCAAATTGTGCATTTATGATATTTAATTCAATTATTCATTCATTCATTTATTGAATTATTAGACCGTAAATACTTTTTGTTTCGCATTATATTACATCACACATCACCCAAATGTTAAAAAAAAATTGTTGGAAGAGATTGAATCGGTTTTTAGAGATGATCCAACCAGGCCGATAACATTAGAAGATCTTGAAAAATTAAAATACTGTGAAGCGATAATTAAAGAAACATCAAGAATAAGACCTACAGTTAGCATGATTTCAAGATATAGTAATCAACCTGACGAAATAGCAGGACACAAATGGCCAGCCAACACATTATTTATAATGTACGTTCGTGGAATCAACAACAACCCACTTTATTGGAAGGATCCTGAAAAATTCATTCCGGAAAGATTTTATAAGACTCAAGAGATACATAGAAATTCTTTTTCAATGTTTGGTGGAGGTTCGAGAATGTGTCTAGGTAGAAAGGTTGCAATCATCGAATTGAAGACATTGTTGACCTCACTTTATAGAAAGTTTGATGTTGAATTGGTAGATATGAAAGCACCCCTTAAAGTCGAAACTTCAACAATTACAGTTTGTAAAGAATTAAACGTCAAAATCATTCCTAAGGAAAAAAATCAGGCCAAAAACTGATTTCGGGCGTGATGATCTTAAATGAAAATACACTGATTATCACGCATTATCGGAAAATGGCTTTCTTGGTCGCCTTTATCGGTACAAAAAATAAATTACACAAGTACATGTGAGGCTGGAAAACTATCTCGAACCTGGCCTTTTTACTGGTGGGGGAATTATCGACACTGACCCGATCCTTCAATTATCCAACAATAATACCCGTTTTACACCTTTTCGAATTGATTCAAGATCTTCTTTGAGGGTCTATTTTAGAGAGATTTATTTGATATTCGCTTTTGCTGGTACAATAAATACCATCCGTAGCAAAAACATGGCTAAAAATATTAAGTAATGATCAGTAAAAATCATAAAAAAAATTCACGCCCTTTTTTAGAATAATTCATATACGTACCTGTATAAATTATCCCATAGAAATAATCGTAATCATCATCCTTGAAAACTTCATCTGCTGTACGCTTCTTCTTGTTTGTATGGTACGCACTTTCCAATTGCATTATATTCTGGAGATAACCTGTATCAGTGTTGGGTATTCTTTATTATATGCGATACATTTTCTCCACCAATATTTAGACCCATAAGCCCTGCTTCGCAGAATCGATTTTTATATAATATTTTCTTACATATTTTGAATATTCTGTTATACTTGAACATGTAATAAAGTGCAAAAAAGATTTGATATGAATCGCCTTACTTGTACACATGTTAAAATGGATGGAAGTGTTTGTGGGCGAGTCTGTACTCGTCTAACCAGGTGCGCTCTTCATTGGAAAACGGGCACTAATAAATTATTAAATTACCTTGCAGTATATGTGATAAACCCACATTATCTTATACGGGTTATTGCTCTGAACATGCTGATAAATTCCATCGTCGGGCTGAGAGAGAAAGACAAAAAAAAATGAAATATAATTCACGTTTTAAATATGTCCGAATAAACGGATCCGGTACGACATCCCGAAAGCCATAATCCCGACAAGCCATAAACCCGACAAACGAAATACATGTACCGAAAGCACAGCATACCGAAATCACGAAATCCCGAATGAACAGCATACCGAATGCATGAAATCTCGATATTTAAAATCTTAATATGTCACTTCATTAATTCATTGATATTTCGTCCATTCGGGATGCCGTGCATTCGGTATGCCGTGCATTTCGGGATTTCATATATTGTGCTTTCAGTATATCGTGCATTTGGTATGTTGCGCTTTCGTGATTTTGTTTTTCGGGCTTATGGGTCGGGATGTTGAACGTTATCGGACTGTGGGGACTGTGTGAGGAAATTGGTCAACAAAATAGTCGAAATTTGAATGAAAAATCGGGGAAAGATGACCACAGTAACATAGCTTCCACTGAAAACTTCCATGCTCTAATAAAAGACAAGTGGTAATTCACTGATAATTACTTAGTTTCTTTCCCCCGTATTTTTAGTATTTTTTTTGTATTTTTTAATTTACTGTTGTACATTAATCTTCTACATATGTACGTATAATGTCTCGAATTAACAATTACATGTACGTATTTCTGCCCTTGCTATATATGTACATACGTAGTTTACATGAACAATACCCCAAAAAGTATCGCCCGATTTTTTTAAAAAATGAAAATTTCATTTTTACTTTGTATACATAAATTTTTTTATCGATTCCTTACGGCATCGAGCTCATATCCTATCCCAAACTAACACATTAAATTTTGACTACACTTTCTTCAGAGCATGTTCACAATTTTTGAGAAGCTTTTGCACTTTAGAAGATTGTTTTACAACGGTTTCTAGATGTTTTCTATGAAGCCAGGTCTGAGGGAATACGTTAATTGGTTTATAATCATTAATATTCCTATTTCGTGATCTTTTTAGAATTAGGGTTAGGGTTAGAATTAGAGTTAAGCTGAAACACCATATTTTTTCAAATTAATGTATTATGAAAAAGGATGAAATTACCTTAAAGAATCTTCGGGTAAATTTTTTCAAAGAATTTTTGTTGACAATGTCACGAAATGGCTCAGGTTGTCTTTTTTGGCTTCTTGTAAATATGCATTTTTTTTCTTGCTTGTTTAGAGCTTGTGACCTTCCAGACCCTGGTAAATTTTTTTTTTCCTATTTCTCTTGCATTCGACAAGAGACCATCGAATCACGGATCATTTTTCTTGCAACTTGTACGGCACTCAAAACCCAATCCAAATTACCCAATTTACCCTTGTCAAAGTCGGTCAACTGGAGGTGGTGTGTGTTATGACAGACAATTCATTGTATGACAAGCCACAGACTCAAATAAAAGGTATAAAACGAATCTCTTCTTTGATAATGCGTTGTTTCAGACCATTATTCATTGTGCTCTTGCAGAACACCGGAGTGCACACACTAAAAAGTGGCCATTTAAAGTAAAGTTATATTCTCAATCAATTTTGAAGAACAGTTTGATATTAATTCTTTCTTCTTTAAAGTGTCCAGCCTCTCCTGATCTACGTCAATTCGGATCTCTTAATATATTGGCAAGACATCTAGTGCTTGACCATGAAGAGGATGTTGAAGACTCTGATGGTATTAACGATACGATATGACATGCAATTTATTGTTTAGGAATGGTGATGCAATGTATGAAAATGATGAAAAAGGTATTTGGCTCATGATGATATATCGATTCTGATGCTAAGTTGTTTGATTTTTTCTTTATTTACAGTTTATGTAGATGATCCGAAGAATCCCTGGTCTCCTTTGTATTTGGAGCCTTTTTATAAGCATAATTATGAGGGATTAGATAGTGATTATATTGTTTATAGTGTTTAATGAATTAACAGGCAAGGAACGTATGAAAGAACTGGAACTGTAGATAAATTTATTAATGATATAAACAATTTATATTGTTTTTTTTTTTGATTTTTGAATCAGCGATATTTGCTCTAAGCGATTAAGTGCATTATTTTTATGATTTTGAAAACTCCAATTAGGCTGTTTCGGCTACAAGAAGTTCAGTTTAAGTTTATTGAATGTCCAGTTTATCAGATAAATTAATTACAGACGATTTTTAATCATAATGAGTCGGTTTAATTATATATGTAAGTGGAAACGGAATATACCGTATGTGAATAAGGACACAACTAGAATTAAAATAATAATTAAGACTAGAAAGATTCTAAATCCACATTAAGTGGATTGATCATATAAAAACACTTTCTCTAAATACACACCTTACATAAATGCACGTTTACAACTGGTCCCAAAGGGGGGGGGGGGTGCTGTATTTGATTTTGGATAGTTGAAATAAAAGATTTAGCTAACTCGAACCAACATGACCCTTCTAACGCTGTGCAGTATTGAAAACATAAACTGGTTAACACATGAGCTTAATCCTGGAATTACGCTATCAGCACTAAAACAATCAAAGTTGATATTGGCAAATTCAATAGCTTACAAGTTTTTTTTATCAGTGTTCGATAACTGACGTACGTACATGTAGTTGGATCCACTATTTTGTGCACCATCTGTATCTGCTAGAGGTTATATTTTTACAAACCGGTTTTTAATAACATCTTGAAAATTGCAACCGGTTATAAATTGGTTATATATTAAAACCGGTTTTAAACAATAAACCCCGGTTATATTAATTCGGTTTCAACCGATTGATCGATTATTACTGTCTCGAAATACAAAAATCCATACCTTACTAATTAATCGTTTACAACCGGTTATAATAAAACCGATTAATCGTTTTGAAAAATTTTCGATTAAACCCCGATTATAAACCCGATTCTGATAACCGGTTCTAACTTCTAATTTCTGCAACTCTCGAAACTGAGAATTCATCAAATCGCCAAAACTATTGTGATTCTTTGAATTGAATGATAAGTGTTGGCTATATTTTCAAAGAATATTTGTGATTTATTCCTAATAAAAATTGTAGTTGCTTATTTCTTTGAGATTTCCAAATAACTTTTGAACTGAGCATTCTTTAGGGATTAGACTCCAGATTTCTTGGTAATGTTCAAAGTGATGAGTTAAAGAACGTAAAGAAATTGATCGGTTAATAAAAGTCTGGACAAGGAAACTGCCGATGCTTTGTGTTTGTTCAAATCTTCTTCAGTCAAATAATACGATTGCTTCAACCATACACTTACTGCGTGATTTACATCCGTTGATTCATAATGGCGTAAAAATGAAGTGTAATCAAAAGTTGGTTGTCGTATAGTATGTGGTCGGCTAATTTTTTTAGAACGCAAATACTCCAATGCTTCTTTCGAGAAAATTCCAATAGAAACTTCTGCAACAGGATAGTGTCTAAAATGTGCTTCCCAAAGAATCGACGTAGTTTCTTGACAAATTTTCGATTAACCAACAGACCATTGAATAAAGATCCCCTGTTTAGATTCTTGAAATTTCTTGACGAATTTCCGTGGGCAATAATTTGAACATTGAAATAATTTCAAAATTAGAAAGTTAATATTTCTTTGTGCTTTCTCTATATTTGCATACAGAATACTTTATAGCAACTCTTCTATATTACAAATGTCTATATACATGTAATATAAACCACCCTTACAATAATAGAAAAATATGACTCTTCTTTTAACACAACAATAATATCGGTTTGTGTTTAATAAATAGCTCTTCTTTTTTTATGAATGTATGCCATAAAAAATTCATATCTCACCCAAGGATTTCACGTGAAACCTTTATTATTTACACACACACACACAAGTCTTTTTTATGCGTTCTGTCTCATTGTTCGTGCATAGATATCGATTTATGCAGTGTCGAGTTTACACGAAGACGTAACTATTCTTTAACATACACAAATATAACAATAGAGTCAAAATAACAATAACGATAAATGCCTTCTCATACACATGTCTGATTTATTGGCGTAATGCGTTAACACAACACAAGCGGAAGTTCCATAAAGGAATGACAATTGACTTCCACATAGTGATGCAGGTCAAGCAAAAATCTTTGGCCCGCCCGTTGGTAAAATTATCAGCCCATCTTGACCCGCTCGATCTGCTGACGAGGATGTACTGTATGCTTGAATTTGATTGATTTCCCGCTGACCATAATTATTTCGCAGAGATGATTGGTTCATTCAATAGACTACGCAAGTAAATGGGATGGGTCGATCGGTAAATGAAATCATCCTTAAATCTCGCACCGAATGCCTCTGCCAAATCTTATGTTCTTGATTCTGTCATCGTTTTGGCATCGAAAACAAATATTTTTTTCTATGTAGCTGATAAAGAAGCCCTTTGCAGTTGTGAAAAGTTCTGCAGCATGTATTGGCCATTTTCCATTGTATACTAAGAAACAAGATCAAGATGAACAATCAACAACGGTCTGAGTCCTAAACGAGAATCTCCAGTGATGGTAATTGATTTGAATAATATTCAACAGCTGAGATGAATCAAAATCTTCGTGAGAAGATAAAACTAATATTATGTGAAAATGAAAATCAAAAGTTTTGTACAAGAGATCCTAGTGAATTTTATTTTGTATAAGACCTGGGACCAAGTTAATAATCGGGTATTATACTAAATAACCTATAAAAACTGCAAGCAATTTCACGCATACCACCAAGACGATTGGTAACGTGGGAGCGGTTTTGTGATATGGGATTAGACAGACGAAATTACTTTCAGCGACCAATACTTTTAGTACAGCATGATATCAATATACCGTATCCTACCAAAAATAAGTACCACTCTAATTTCAATTAGACCATGAATAAATACAATTACAAAGATATATAAAATCACCTTAAATGACAATAGTTTCGAATTAGAGCGAATATCCGTGAATAAGCAACCGCCCGTTTTTAGAGCCCAAAAAGCGGTGCTTGGTGTTGGTAGATACGGCAATCAGCGTTATAGTGTTGTTATCAATTCGGAAAAAAGCATAATTAATGTTCGTTTTCATTATTTTAATATCTGATTTACATTTCGTTATTTTATATTTTTCATATTGTTATATTTATAAATTGTTTTTTTACAATACCTATCTATCCTTGTTTAATATACCAAAAAGGCGAAACCCGGAGTCTCTTGCACAGCAAATTACGGTATCACGTGAAAGCTAATAGATATTAGCCAAACAGAAAACGATTCTATAATCTGGTAGACAAAAATTCTTTAGAGTGATGCATATAAAATTTATTATAATGAGAATGGTTTTGATATATGTGAAATTTATGAATATTTTAAATTCTCTATCTATTTTATACTCTCAACTAATGTGAAGTCCAAGAAGTAGCTTGTACTATTTAACAAAAATTATAAGTGGAACACTTTTTTTATATGAGCAGGAATTATATTCGTAAAGTTATTTGAGGGTATAAAGGTTGCAATTCATTATTTACGGTCAGCAACTTTATAATGTCAGGGGGATATGTTTAAAAAAAATATTCGCATCAGAATTTGCGACTGGTTTATAGAGAATATAACCAATAATTGAGTCTCGATGCACAAGCTCCGCATTAGCATCTACAAAAATTTGTTTTCATGATCAAGATAGAAAGCAAATATTGTAACTCGATAATATATTTCAATTTTTATGTCAATTTTGAAGAAATTTCAAGTACCGTTTATTCGTAAAAATACCGTGCGGAAAACAACGACTTTTGCGTTCGCATAAGTTTGTAACGCAAAGTTATCTTGTTTCTTGCATACACAGAGATGACTATTAAGCGCTAGAGAAAGTGCTATTATGAGTTCTTGACACTGAAAATGAAAATCAAAAATGTCTGTTGATTTATCAATAAAGAAAATTAATTTTTCGAAAAGTGTAATAACGAATTGATCGGGCTATTAGTAAAAATTCGATTTATCGAGGTTTATTTAGTAAATTCGGTTTATCAAGGATAACCGTTTCTGGAACAAACTTCGGTTTTATTAATGCTTCGTTATATCGAGGTTCGACTGTAATAAATGATCAATCAGTTTAATTCGGTCTACTTGATAAGATAAATAACTAGTTTTTCTTTTAGCAGGTTTCTAGGCAATAATTTTTTTACAAATCAATTAAAATATTGCTGTTATAAAACACACTCTGCATTTTCTTCGCTGCAAATAGCGACAGGAAAAAGCCTCAATTCGAGAAACAAAGCCGATATACACGCGCCTACACTATATTATCAAGATTTCTAGATTGCTTTTTTTCAAACTGCACAAAATCAAATTAGCAAATCATATAGATCGAAATGGAAAATTGATCTAGATAAACCAGTTCAGCTTTCAAGTTTATTCGAACTCGTATATGCAAGTTTAATGGGTTTTTATTGCCTTGGCTCTGTTTTCAGGTTTTTTTTTCAACATAATAAAATCGATTCGGAATAAAATCTTTAGTTGTGATAATGATAACGATAACGATAAGGGTTTTTTCAGCATTGAAAACGATTTCATATTATGCACAACAAAAAAAGAAATTTCTTTGTGTCATCTAAAGTTCATGTACGTACTTGTTTAAAACAGTAACAATCTTAAAACAATAACAATCGCAATACACTAACTATCGCTATGTACATGTTCATGGATTATCCTGATAATACCTAAATATATGAATACCCGTTTCTTAGAAGTCTACATGTATTTATATTTCTCTCGGTTAGTCTTGTAATGATTTTTTCCTGTCTCAAACTTGGTACAATTCAGCAGTCTACATGTATTTATAATTTTGTTCCGCCATTGTACGTACATGTAATATTCTCTCGGTTGTCATAATCTTAGAATGATTTTTTCCTTATTTCTCCTCCTTTTTTCATTTAGATTGATTAAATGCGGAGAAGCTGTTCATGCATTTGCTGGTGTTGTTGCTAATGGATGTGTATGAATGAATATCTAGATAAATATCGGGATTAAAATTATCGTTATGTACATACTTAAAGACTAATTACGTGTGTTGTAACTCTTTAAATTCAGATGCGTGGTTACTGGTTAGTCTTTGAATTCTTATGTTGATGGAATCATTATGGAAACCTCGTTAACAAAAGTATCGTACTGCACTTAGTAAATAATTATTCGATATTCCTTATTCGCGATCCCTCCAAACAAAATTATTGTACGTACTGCAATTGTTGTCATTGTGGTTACAAAATTATCGTATTGCGCGATGCAGCTTTAGCACGAAACTTAAGTATCTATTGCAGTCATCATCCAGTAATCAAATCTGAATCCATTCAGATCTGTGATTACTAAATTATAAACTTATTTATTCACTGAATTTGAGTGTTTCCTCCCTTAGAATAATTATTCGATATTCCTTATTTCGTGATCCCGCCACTTTGTATTTTTTCTTTTTTTAGTCAGCCAAATAGAAAGAGTATAAAGTTACAAGCTGATTCAAAGAAGTGGAATTTGTAGTTTCATTTTTCAAGACCTAAAAAAGAAGTGTTTGAACAAATCGTGATTTAAACTAGATTCAAATTCAAATAATCAATATTCGTCGTCGATGTACATATTATTATAGAAATAATATAGTCAACGAAACAAATTTCCATAAAATTAGTACAATTTATGCCAAATGGCTTACCAGAATAAGGGCAATTATCAGAGCGTTCGAGATTACAAACCAGAAGAATATTCAAATAACGTACAACCAACATATTCTCCGTCACCAAGCACAAGTTCCTGTAGTTCACTAAGTCCGCAAGCTCTACAAAGTTCTCACGGGCAACTCGATCCATCTAGCATTGATCGACAAATCGAACCGCAAGGCTTACATGTGTCAAATGACCTGCCACTTCCGCAAGGACAGGTTTCACGCCCGGATCTACAAAGTTCCCATAGTCCACGTGCACAGACCAGACCGCAAACACCTACTCGAGAATCCAAAAAATATCGCACTTCTCTTATGTCAGATGTACCACAAGCTTCCTATTGTAATAATCATTATGATTGTGATGATGATAATGCTAATCCGAGTAATTCACGTATGTCAAATAGTCCTGATACACTTGAAGAACAGGACTATTATCCTGTATACAATTTGTTAAGGGGTTACGAAGATAGTGAAGCGGAAGACGACACGGAGGGAACAGATACCGAGTCAGTATCTTCAAATTATGGTAAGCTGTTTTTAACGTATTATTGATTTATGGATCGAGAATTGTGATCTCAAGAATTTCATTAAAGGTTCCCGTCGTCGACGTCCACCTTCATTTTATCCTGATGATACGATAAATGATAATAATAGAAAGGGCAAAGGTCGTAATAATCTAGATACAGATTCCTTTGTCTACGGTATTGGTTTAGATTATGAAAGTCGCTATTATGTGCCTTCACGTGGGTCTTTACAACATGCATTGGGTAAAGAGAATCAATCACACTCTTCAACATATACTCCATCAGTATTCAGCCATGATGACAATAATTATAATGTAGAATATTCACATGCACCTGATAGCAATGCAGTTTATGCCTCGTGGAGCTCAGATGATCATAAAGTTCCAGTGCCAAAGGAAGAAATAGAGGACATTTTCACTGAACTCACCGACAAGTTTGGTTTTCAGAAACAGAGTATGCGCAACATTTTCGATCTTCTCATGTGCATGCTAGATTCTCGGGCTTCTCGAATGTCACCTTCGCAAGCTTTACTGACACTTCATGCTGATTATATTGGTGGTGAACATGCTAATTATCGCAAGTGGTATTTTGCAACTCGTATGGACTTGGATGATGTTCTTGTCGATGAAAACAATCCAAGTGATTTACCAAATCAGGATAATGATCTTGACGAACAATGGAATCAGCGCATGAATCAAATGTCTCATTATGATCGCATACGTCAACTCGCCTTGTGGCTCTTGTTATGGGGTGAGGCTGCGCATGTTCGTTTTACTAGCGAATGTTTGTGCTTTATATTTAAGCTTGCTGATGATTACACAAAAAGCTCCGAATACAAAGCAATTGTACAACCGGTTCCTGAAGGGGAATATCTACAAAAGATCGTCACACCACTCTATCGGTACATTCGTGATCAAGGATATAAAGCAGTTGATGGCGGTTTTGTAAAAAGGGAAAAAGATCACGCTGAAACAATAGGTTATGACGATATCAATGAATTATTTTGGTACTCCGAGAGCATTGATCGTATAGTCTTAAAAGACAAGTCATCACGTCTCATGGCATTACACAAAAGTGAACGTTATCGAATGCTCGGTCAAGTAGATTGGAATTATGCTTTTGAAAAGACATACAAAGAAAAGCGTACATGGCTTCATCTCGCCGTTAATTTTACTCGTATATGGATTATCCACGTTGCTATCTTCTGGTATTATATTGTATACAATGCTTCATTCCTTTATACCGATTCAGGTAACCCGGAACCCGCGGTTCAATTCTCAGTGGTGGCTCTCGGCGGAGCAGTGTCGACTTTGTTCATGATCGTTGGATGTATTTGCGAGTTCTTCTTCATTCCTCTGAACAGAAATAATCTATCAATGTTAATAAAACGGTTTGTCCTCCTAATCACAACGTTGATTATCAACTCTGGTCCTACATACTATATCTATGCAAGAGCACGTACCGGTCAAATATCTTTAATTATCGGAATCACCCAATTCATTATCTCGTTGTTAACCACCCTCTCCTTTGCTATAATACCAAGCGCAAAGTTGTTTGGTGGGTTGCCAAAAGGCTCACAAAAATATCGAGTTTTTAACACATTCACTGCCAATTACCCTACACTCAATAACAAAGATCGGACCATCTCAATTGGTCTCTGGTGTTGTGTCTTTGGATGCAAATTTGTCGAATCTTACTACTTCTTGTCGCTTTCTTTCAAAGATCCTCTAAAAGCAATGGTCGATAGTAGGGCAGTTGATTGTGGTGATATGCTTGTTAATAAAATTATTTGTTCCTACCTCCCCATAATATCCATCGTGTTTATGTTTTTTGTGGATCTTACTCTTTTCTTCTTGGACACGTATCTGTGGTATGTTATCTGGTATACCATTTTTTCGGTTGTTTTTTCATTATACGTTGGTATCTCCATCTGGACTCCTTGGAAGAATATCTATTCCATGTTGCCTAAGCGAATTTACGCAAAGATTTTAGCTGTCACAAACATTGAGGTCAGGCCAAGGATTCTTGTGTCACAAATTTGGAACGCGATCATTATCTCCATGTATCGTGACCATTTTTTGTCCGTCGAAAATGTGCAAAAGTTATTGTATCGTAAAAATTTTTTATCCACCGAAAATGTGCAAGAGTTTTTATACCAACAGGTGTGTTTTTACACATGTAATATTCCGAATGTAAAAAATGAAATTTGTTTCACTAATTTTTCAATTCTTGTGATGTAATGCAATCAGGGTCTTCCTGATTATGGGAAGTTCGCGTTAAAACCACCTACGTTCTTCGTAGCTCAGAATTCGGATTATTTCTTCTCACCAATGGGTGAAGCAGAGCGTCGCTTGTCATTTTTCTCGCAAAGTTTATCAACTCCGATACCAGATCCATTACCAGTTCAAAATATGCCAACCTTTACGGTCTTGACTCCTCACTATTCGGAAAAGATTCTTCTTTCCCTTCGAGAGATTATTCGTGAAAAGGACAAAAGCACTAGAATTACCTTGCTGGAATACCTGAAACAGTTGCATCAAATTGAATGGGACAATTTTGTCAAAGATACCAAAATTCTGACCGAAAATGATGACACGACAATGACAAACCAATTTGAAGAAGACCCGTTGAAAAAAGCTAAAGACAAAAAACTGAATGATTTGGTTTTCGATTCCGTGGGTTTCAAGTCTTCGGCACCGGAATATACTATGCGGACACGCATATGGGCGTCGCTTCGATCTCAAACGCTGTACCGTACGGTTTCCGGGTTCATGAACTATTCAAAAGCAATAAAGCTTCTGTATCATGTGGAAAATCCAGAGGTTACGACCATTTTTGCCAACAATCCAGAGAAATTTAAGGAAGAGATTGCTTCTATGGCCCGTAGAAAATTTAAGTTTGTGGTATCCATGCAACGATATAACGATTTCACTGACGAAGAACAAGAGAATGCAAAGTTCTTATTACAAACTTACCCTGATCTTCAGATTGCTTATCTTGATGAACTCCCGCCCGAGAATGAAGGGGAAGAACCAAGGATATACTCCGTGTTAATCGATGGTCATTGTGAATTTTTGCCTAACGGGAAGAGGAAACCAAAATACCGTATCCAACTTCCCGGTAACCCAATCCTTGGAGATGGTAAATCTGACAATCAAAATCACGCCATCATCTTTTGTCGTGGTGAATACCTGCAATTAGTAGATGCCAATCAAGACAACTACCTCGAAGAGTGTCTCAAAATTCGCAGTATTCTTGGAGAATTTGAACAATATGAGATGCCAGCAACATCACCATACTCACCGGCCACCGAACCGTCGAAAAAAGAACCCGTTGCAATCGTTGGTGCGCGAGAATATATTTTTTCTGAGAATTACGGTGTTCTTGGTGATGTGGCTGCCGCCAAAGAACAAACTTTTGGTACACTAACTCAAAGGCTTATGGCCCAAGTAGGTGGTAGATTACATTACGGACATCCTGATTTCCTAAATGCCATATTCATGACAACTCGTGGTGGTAAGCGTCACATATATTTGCGCTCATATTGCCTGCATATCATTAATTTAAATTTATTACAGGTATATCAAAAGCACAAAAAGGTTTGCATCTCAATGAAGATATTTATGCTGGTATAAACGCGTTTAATCGTGGTGGACGCATCAAACACGCGGAATACTATCAATGTGGTAAAGGTCGCGACCTTGGATTCGGTTCCATTATTCACTTTACCACCAAAATCGGAACTGGTATGGGTGAACAAATGCTCTCTCGCGAATACTATTACCTTGGGACACAGCTTCCTTTAGATCGCTTCTTAACCTTTTATTATGCTCATCCCGGGTTTCACGTAAACAATATTTTTATTATGTTATCGGTGCAACTATTCGTGTTCGGTATGATGCTTGTCGGCGCGATGGTATCTACCTTAACGCTGTGCGATTACAACCCCGATCCAACGGCTGAACTTAGTCCTCCAGGATGTCACAATCTTATTCCTGTGTTTGATTGGATTAAACGTTCAATCGTCTCCATCGTTGTTGTGTTCCTTGTAACATTCTTGCCATTGTTCCTTCAAGAACTGGCCGAGAAAGGGTTATTACGCAGTATCATCCGTCTTGGAAAACATTTAATATCACTTTCTCCTTTGTTTGAAGTCTTTATAACTCAGATTTATACACACAGTATTACAGCAAATCTTAGTTTTGGTGGTGCTCGTTATATTGACACCGGTCGTGGATTTGCCACCATTCGTATCCCATTCTCCACATTGTATTCACGTTTTACTTGTCTGAGTATTTATTTTGGCGTGAGGATCCTTTTGATATTGCTCTTTGTAACCATGACCATACGACTACCGCACCTGGGATACTTTTGGTTGTCAGTTGTTGCCTTGTCGATATCCCCATTCCTATTCAACCCACATCAGTTCTCTTTCATGGATTTCATCATTGATTATCGGGAATTCTTGAGATGGATGTCCCGTGGGAATTCAAAAACACACGCAAGTTCTTGGATTTCCTTTTGTCGTATGTCTAGGACAATGATTACTGGTTATAAACGCAAACGGTCGGGTCATCCATCAGAGGAATCGGTTCGTGAGATTCCTCGTCCAAGTTTCGTTGTGATCGTTACCTCGGAACTCCTCTTACCACTCATATCGGCTGCCCTCTGTGTTCTAACGTTTGCGTTTGTTAAAATTCTTGATCCACACAACCCTGTGAATGGTCTTAGTGCGATCATCCGTGTTTGCGCTATAGCCGTCATGCCGGTTATATTAAACGCGACCATGCTAGCGGGACTTTTCTTTATTTCACTCTGCACTGGTCCATTGGTAAATTGCTGTTTCTCCAAGTTTGGATCCATTGTTGCCGCAATTGCACACGCCTGGTCAGTTCTCAACTTGATTGGAGTTTTCGAACTTTGGTGGTTTATCAATGCATGGAACTTTTCCCATGCTATCCTAGGTGTGATTACATTGGTTGCAATTCAGCGATTCATTTTCAAAGTCTTGATCGTATTGTTTTTAACACGTGAATTTAAGCATGACGAAACAAATAGAGCTTGGTGGACGGGAAAGTGGTACGGTCGTGGATTAGGTGGATCATCATTTACACAACCTTTTCGAGAATATATCTGTAAAATAGTTGAGATGTCACTTTTCGCAACCGACTTTATACTCGGTCATATTATTCTATTCATATTGGCACCTATATGCTTGATACCTTGGATCGATAGATGTCATTCTACCATGTTGTTTTGGTTGAGAACAAGCAAGCAAATTAGGGTGCCAATATTTTCGCAGAAACAAAAAAAAAGAAGATCACGTATGATATGGACATATGGACTTTTGTTTTTAATCATGTATCTTGCATTTATTGGGTTGATTGCTGTACCTATAGTTGTTGGAACCAAGCTAAAGTTTAAATTAGACATTCCAATATAGCGATTTTGAAAAAAAGACAATTGGCATCCTTTTTTTGAAAAAATTAAACCATTCAACAATTCAGTATTCAATCAATCAATCAATCATTTTTATAATAGCACACATTTTTTATTATTAGATTACTGAGTGTATATAAAATGGATTTTTAGATTAATTTCCACATTTTATTTCGAAATATTAGAATTTCTTATAAGCCAAAAATCTTGATATCATATTTCTTAAATTATGGCAAATCAGTACGTATTAATGATGTATAACGATAACGATAATATCAGCGGGTTAAAGATGTACATGTATTTTAGTAACAACAATAGATGATGTCAATCCATCAATAAACATTTGTTGTAGATTGTATACAAGCAGATAATGTCGAAAAGTTCTTCAGCAGGTACGCAGTCTGTTTTTTGGAATGGGAACACAATAATAAATTTGCACCATCAAAGAACATTATAGGTCGTGCTCATTTAATCATAACTTCGCTCACTGAATAGCCGTTCATTGTTACAACCTCGTACCTAACCATTCAAAAAAATATTTACATCTTTAGTGGTGGTTTTCCATGTGATACCTCGGAACTAATTAAATATAAGGAACGACTCCGCAAGTTTTTTGACTACATTTTCTATTCGCTAGCTGGTCAAAACTTAACAATTTCAGCATTACGATAAATTTCCCCGGGTATGATGCACAAGTCCCTTTTGAATATAGTTTTTCTTCAATTTTTCGCAGTATGCGTTTTCTGTGTTTATTTAATCTATGTACCGGTACTAGTACTGTATATTTTCTATAACAATAACAATAACGATAACGATAACCTCACATGTAATCGTGGATTAGACCGTTAATAAGTGGAAGATGATATCGATATAGAAAACATCAATTTTTTGACAATCGGTACATTTACTACAATCAGGAGTAAAACTGGACTTATTTATAACAATACAATTATGAACATTGCGAACTGAACATTCATCGCGGTAGTAACTTTTGCCTCGATAACGGAAACGTCTCTGAGATTAGTCACGTTATAAAATAGTTTTATTGATTCGTGATCATCTAATCAAAGTGCTAAATTTAAAAAATTTTATAAAAGTTACTGTAATTTTGCATGATACGAGCCAATAGTAATTATGTGTTGTTTTTATTTAGCACCCATTGTGTGTTAAAGAGCTTCATAGAACTTCCGTTTGTGTGTTTTATTGTCATTGTTACGTTAAAAGAAACGTTACGCATATCAATATACATGTACATGTATATATATATTACGTGACACGGGATCGATTGTTTAACGTTAATGTGATAACATCGATCGAATGTACAGTACATGTATTTGGTCAATTGCTAGCTAGATAAAAATTTCTTCTTCCTCTTTCTATTGATTGCCTTTTCGCTTAGTCATTTTTTGCTGGAATATGACGTTTGAATTTCATATTCAAGGAACCTTTGAAGAGAAAGATAATACAAAAAATTTACACAGTCAAAACTCGTTATAATGATGCCTAATAAAATTCCCTCGATAGTGATTAGCAGAATTTTTTTACTGTTTCCGACCATATCATTATATCGAGTTTTGAGTTTATGGCAGAATAAATACTTCTATACATTTCCATCCACATATAATTTCGAACTTTACTTATAGTATCTTTACTGCGAAATTGGTGTGTGTATATGCGAACGATATTTCGTTGCAGATTTGCTGCTGTCATACGAAATTAAGCCAATCCTTCTTAAATTTGATTATACATGTACATGTATATGCTTCTCGTCAAAGTAGCCTAAAGCCATTTATATTGTGCCAGCTCAGCCGTTGCTTTATACTAGTTTTTTTAGTCTCGTAAAATATGAACGTGAATTTCTATTTTTAGTTAGTAATCCATATTGTGTTACCATTAGAAGAGATTATATAATCGTAACGGTAACGTGGGTAAAACAGTTATGATCGTAATACATGTACATGTCGTTATCGTTATTTGACAACAATCAAAACATGTCAGATTCTTCGCCTTCGTTTAACGCGAATAAATGGCTGGAAACCGCAACGTCAGAAAATAAAATAAAATTTTTTGACTTTATTTTATTCAATGATATAAAGGTAATTGGAAAGGGAGCGTTTGGTGAAGTATTCAAAGCAGAATTAAAAAAAGACGGAAGAACGGTTGCCTTGAAATGCCTTTTTATAAAGAATGACCAAAGCAAAGAGGATTCATACAGACAATTTATTAACGAAGTACTTAATTTAACATTCATGTTGGTTTTTAAATACATGTATAGTTTTTTAATTTAATCTTATCGTTATCGTTATGTAGATGAAAAGCTTGATTAATGTTAATCATCAACCAAATATTATTCGGTTTTACGGAATTACTAAAGGTATAAAAGTTCTGTTTTTTTGAAGCAAGTACAAAAAATCGAGTTTAAGCTTATAAACGAATCTATACACAGATCCTGTTTCGGAAAAATATATGCTTGTTTTGAAATATGCCGATGGTGGAACTCTAGAAGGTTATTTCCAATCAAATTTTACGAAATTAAGTGGCAATGACAAGCTACGTCTCGCTAAGCAACTTGCAGGAGGAGTCAAATGTATACACGATGAAGGCATTATTCATCGGGATTTGGTAAATTTAATCTATTCCAGTTTACATGAAAAAATATTAATTTGACCGAATATGTTACTTATAGCTACTTTTTACATTTATATGTAGAATCATAATAATATACTCGTGCATAAAGGCAAGGTTAAAATTTCGGATTTAGGATATTCAAAATTATCCAACGATGACACTAATTCACGGACTGGCCTTGGTATTCTAAGCTATGTTGATCCAGCTTTTCTAAAAGATTTTAATTTTCGACGAGACGAAAAATCGGATATTTTCAGCGTTGGAGTTCTATTATGGATGATTTCTAGCGGTCGCCGTCCATCCAATAAATTTGGATATGTTCATGAAAACGTTCTTGAGAAAGAAATGACAATATCCGGAACTCCTCCTAAATATGTTGAGCTCTATCAAAAATGTTGGGATAATACACCAGAAAATCGCCCAACTATAGATAAAGTAAATCAAGATCTAAAAGAAATAGTTTGGTTGCCGCCAGAATCTTCTGTTTTCTCATCAACAATCCCAAGATCATCTACTTTGAGTTCCGAAGTGTCGTCATTCTCCGAAAGTCCAGATTCATCAGATAAAGAATGCTATTGTGATGACTCGGAAAATCTAGCATCTTTTCATGAACTTTTAACTCCGAAAAACGCGCCTGGAATTACTGACTTATTAAGTTTGTTAAATAAAGAGAGTCAAATTAAATTTTTCGATTTTAGTAAATTTTCCGGTAAAAAAGTCATCGGAAATGGAGCGTTTGGTGAAGTTTATAGAGCAGAAGTGAAAAACGAAGATTTGACAGTAGCTTTAAAAAGTCTTTATCTAAGTGACGAGAAGCACGCCGAAGAAACAAATAAGAAATTTATCACAGAGGTATTTATTATATTAGAGGAATCAGCTAAGACTTATAAACATTCACGCTATTGTTCAAAACATTTTTTTAGTTGAAAGTCCTTTTTAACCTTAACCATAACAAAAATATAATTCGTTTTTACGGAATCACTAAAGGTAAATGCGCAAATAACAACAGCTTTAACTTCGTATTTAAATACACAGTATAACGACAATAGAAATTTTCTCTAAATTAGAATACAATACGCAAAAATACATGATTGTTATGAAGTATGCTGATGGCGGAACTCTTAAAAATTATTTATATACAAATTTTTCAAGCCTGACGGGTAACGACAAGTTAAATTTAGCCAAGCAACTCGCGCAAGGATTAAGAAGTATACATAATGCAGACATCATTCACCGCGATTTGGTAAGCAATGGCATATCAATATGGTGAATAAATTTATTAAATGAACCTGCACTAATTAGAATTTTTTGGGCGCCAGAATCATAATAATATCCTCATTCATAAAGGAAAAATTAAAATTGCGGATTTAGGCTATTCGAAACTTTCGAACGAAAGTTCAAATTCAAAAGCTAATTGCGGCGTATTAAGTTATATTGACCCCGCATTCTTGAGAAATACGGAAAATTTTATACGCAACAAGGAATCAGATATTTACAGCCTCGGTGTTTTATTTTGGGTTATCTCTAGCGGTCGTATTCCAAATCGGTATCAGTATGCGTTTGCATCTAATGATAAAGAAAAACCAATTCCCGGAACTCCAAACAAATACATTGAATTATATCAAGCATGTTGGGACAATTTACCTAAAACTCGGCCGGATATTTATGAAGTAAATCAACAACTTAATGAAATCGAGTGGTCACCAGAACTAGATGAAAATTTGGTTATCGAAGATAAAAACGAACTTTTAAATGATGATGATGATGATGAGGATGATGATGATGATGAAAATGACAATGAAGATGAAGTTTACAAAATTATTGACGAATTTGTAACTCTACTAAATAAATTACTCAGTAAAGAGGATAATTTAGATAAAATAGTTACCGAACTACAATCGTATTACGACCTATGTATTCAGCATTCTCTTAAAATTCAGAGCTATTTGAAAAATAATGCTCATTATAAGCTACTTTTAGGGTTTCTTTACCAAACTGGATTCATCGTTGAAAAGAATGTCGCATTAGCATTGAAAATTTATGTAAAGTTATCAAATGATAACAACTCTTCAGCTCAATTCTTTCTAGGACATACCTATCAAGCTGGGATCGGAACACAAAAAGATGAGAAAAAAGCTTTCAAATGGTATTTGAAGTCAGCGGAGGGTGGCGATGTAAGAGGGCAATTTAAACTTGGTTTGTGTTATGAAGAAGGAATCGGAACACAAAAAGATGAGAAGGAAGCCTTCGAGTGGTATTTGAAATCAGTAGAGGGTGGCGACGCGAAAGGAGAATGTAATCTTGGTATATGTTATCAAAATATAATTGGGAAGAAAGTATTCGAGTGGTATTTGAAATCAGCAGAGGGTGAGGATGCAAGAGGAAAATGCAATCTCGGTATTTGTTATAAAAATGGAATCGGAACACTAAAGGACGAGAAAAAAGCATTCGAATGGCATTTCAAATCAGCAAAGGGTGGCGACGCGAAAGGACAATGTAATATTGGCGTATGTTATCAAAATGGAATTGGAACACAAAAAGATGAGAAACAAGCATTTGAATGGTATTTAGAATCAGCAGAGGGTGGAGATTTAAGAGGACAATGTAATCTTGGTTTTTGTTATAAAAACGGAATCGGAACACAAAAAGATGAGAAAAAAGCATTCGAATGGCATTTCAAATCAGCAAAGGGCGGCGACGCGAAGGGACAATGTAATATTGGCGTATGTTATCAAAATGGAATTGGAATACAAAAGGATGAGAAAAAAGCGTTCGAGTGGTATTTGAAATCAGCAGAGGGTGGAGACGCAAGTGGAAAATGTAATCTTGGAATATGTTATAAAAATGGAATTGGCACACAAAAAGATGGGAAAAAAGCATTTGCGTGGTTTTTGAAATCAGCAGAGGGTGGAGATTTAAGAGGACAATGTAATCTTGGTATATGTTATCAAAATGGAATTGGAACACAAAAAGATGAAAAAAAAGCTTTTGAGTGGTATTTAAAATCAGCAAAGGGTGGAAACACAAGAGGACAATGTAATCTTGGTTTTTGTTATAAAAATGGAATCGGAACACGAAAAAATGGGAAAAAAGCATTCGAATGGCATTTCAAATCAGCAAAGGGCGGCGACGCGAAGGGACAATATAATATTGGCGTATGTTATCAAAATGGAATTGGAATACAAAAGGATGAGAAAAAAGCGTTCGAGTGGTATTTAACATCAGCAAAGAATGGAAACACAAGAGGACAATGTAATCTTGGTTTTTGTTATGAAAATGGAATCGGAACACAAAAAGATGAGAAAACAGCATTCGATTGGTATTTGAAATCATCAAAAGGCGGAGACGCAGAGTCACAATATAATCTTGGTATATGTTATGAAGAAGGAATTGGTGTTTCTAAAAACATTATTAAAGCTAAAAAATGGTATAAAACTGCAGCTAAAAATGGGAATAGTAACGCAAAAAAAAGAATAGATGCAAGCCCTAAATATAAATTAATTTTTTCTGCTCTTACATGTATTTAGTTTTGCAATTTCTTTTATTTAGAACCAGGAGTGCAGACATACCGATACGTAGTTATGGCTGCACCCCTATTTAGAACCCAATTTTTATATTTTGTTTATTTACTAAACTTAAATTAAAATGAATTCGAAAGTTTATTCCTGCATAGAATACATGTACGTACATGTTACATTATAAGTAAATTTGTTCACCGTGTTAATTCTATAATATAGTAGAATTTCGGACACAAATAATTATTTTACAAGTTTCACGTACATAATGTTAAAACTTGATATTGTGGTCAATTTTAAGATATTAATTATTATTATCGTTATTGACTAACGCTAAAGATAGTTAAAATGATGCAAGTTTTAGCTATCTGAAAACCCCAAGTTCTAAACATTATCGTTATAAAAAATTTGTTATTTTTTTTTTACTTGCGATATCATATCTTCTAGAATTCTAACTATATGCGCTTTAAGTTCGAAATTATATTAATAAATAAAATCACGAATACATTTACATGATGTATTGTTACCGCCGGCGAACAAATTTCTCCGATTCCAGCTTTTCGGGATAAAACGGCAGAAGATGAACCGTGAATGTCGTTAATTAATGCCGGACAAATGTACCTACAACGTTGCTAAATTTCAAATCCGGTAGATTTTTCAGCATTGTTGCAGCAACTTCCCAACAAAGCGGCAGATTTCCAGATCCGGGGATCGGTTAAAGCGTAGTCCATCCGATAATCTGTCCGAAAAACAAACCAATGAGGATGCGTAAATTTTTAATCAACCCGACAAAACAAATTTGAAGCAAAGACAAAAAATGAAAAAATACGGAAACCAGGTGCTTAAATCTTGGAACACTAATTAAAAATGTCAGGAAGGCAATTTTAAATATAACTTTGATCTCCTTCCCAATCCCAATCCTAACCCTAACCCTAACGTTAAAATTACCTTTTAATATTTTTAAGATATATCACGTGATGGACTACGCTTAATCGTTCTCCAGATCCGGTAGATTTTCAATCACCAATAAGAATGCACAAATTTTGATCAACCCGGCAAAACAAATCCGACACAAGATAAGAAAAATGCGAGAAATGTGAATATTACAAGAAAATCGATGCTTAAACCTGTCTTGTAATGCTAATTAAAAATGTTAGGAAGGCGATTTTTTGGATGATACATACAAGCAATATTTAATTTCGGGCACGCGGAACACAATTAAAAAAAGTCAAATTAAAATTTTTTAGATATACGTACTTTTGGCTCCACATTATTCACTTATTATTATTAATAATGCAACACTTTTCTGTAATTTATATCTATAGGAATCCAACTAATACCTCATGACGTGAAAACAGAATGTTTTTAAATTAGTAACAATAAAATCACCCGAACTATAACAATAACTGCCCAAATTACGCGTAATCCTCTATCATTAACCACCCCAAATAACAACAATCGAATGCTCTTATCATTAAATTGACGATTATGATTAGAATAATCAATATCCATTTGTTACACGTCTTTTCCTAACATAATTCTTCCAAGATTTTTCTTCCAGTGAGTTCTGACACATCAGTACCCTGACTTTCCCTTCCAGTAGGTTCTTGTTTTGGTGAAAAAGTATGGCACAGCAACTTCAAAATATTATATAAGGATGGGGTTTGTGGGTAGTTGTTCCTCTTTCTCACTCGGTCGATCACAAAGCTTGAAAGTAAAAAGCGAAATTCTTTAGCACCTTGTACTAGCTCCAAAAATCAAAATTCAACCGAACTCTGTTGTAGACAGGCACAGCTGAAACACTCAACGAAAATTAAAGTACATGTATATGGTTGCTTGTCCTTTGGAGCCTCGTAGGATCGTCTATGCATCTATGCTAATCTTGGTTTCTTTTCGTAGATGTCCTCAATTAATTCTTCAGATGTATTACTTATCTTGGTCTCCGTTGGCGTGTGGTACGTGATACATACGATCAAACAACTAATCTAAGAAGTTGAGATAAGTGATACCAGAAACAGTGATCTTTCCGCTCGGAAAGCCCGATTTACCGCCGAACTCACTGCGCGAGATACTAAATATGTTTCCGAATTCACCATGTGACGAAAAAATCAATGATGTATTTATCACATTCGATGAAAAAT